AACCGCCGTTAATGAATGAAAAAATAATAATCCGCCAGAACATTTTAAGGTACATATGCCACAGTTTTGTCGTTTCGGACTTCGTGAGTAGTGCGGCCAGGCTGAAGGCTGAATGTCTGTTTGAGGAGGGAGCGCTCTGCCTCTCTGAGCCTAATTCGTTTCAATGCCACCCATTTTGTATGACTTCTTTCGTCGATTAGCAGCCCCCTCACTCCAAGAAACTGAGTAATAATATAATGCGGGTGAATGCCAGCGCTGCTCCAGGATTGCAGATCCCATAATTTTTATTTACCCTCAGTGTGCTCACTCTCAATGACGTGGTCCATGGTTTGCTCTGTGGCAGATACTCGACTGGGCTGTGGCTGCAAAGGACGCTTTGGGGGAAAGTACCTGCTGGCAGGTATGCATGTGCCGACGTTGAGCGGCATTGTATCTTTTCCATCTTCTTTACTGTTCTCCTCTTCATTGCAATCTTGTCGTGAAGATAAAGGGCCTATTTACACCACTAGCCATCCGCTAACGTTTTGAATGCATCTGGACACGGTGGTTGTTCAAATGCATTCAAAGGTTTGGCAAATGCCGAGTGGTGCAACTAAACCCAAATTCCGGCCCTCAGCTGCCATGCTGTAACTGCATGTCATCCCTTCTTTGCCTTCCCTATCTGTCCAGTTCGTCATTACTGACGTTTTTAACCCCTCCTGTGACCACCTGTCTATGTATTAGCACCGCCTCCCCCCCCCCCCCCCTCTCTCTCTCTCTCTCTTCTTTGCCTTCCCTATCTGTCCACCTGGTCATTACCAACGTTTTTAACCCATTCTCCTCCTGTGACAACCTGTCTCCAACGTTCTTAACCCATCCTCCTATGACAGCCTGTCAATGTATTAGGACCTGTCTGTCTCTCTCTTTCTCTCTTTCTCTCTTTCTCTGTGGATCACTCGCGTGCTCGCTCTTCTTTCTGATTTTGCGAGGTAATTTCAAAAGCATCGAGTTGTCCCCTTGTGAGGTTCCTATATGTTTGTAATGGGCAGAGTGCTGCAACGCCTGGGCTCTTCACCTTTATAGGGTAGTTTCTGTAGGGCTGCAAAGTCTTGCACTAGGGTATTTTACTGGTGTAAGTCGAGCACGGTGTGCCTACCGTCTCCCCTGAACAGATGGCACCTTCATTATGGTTGAATCCGGCTGGAAAGTGTATTCATTAGCGGTGAGGGTGTATTGTGTTTTGGGGGAGAAGGCCGGAAGGGGACTCAAGGTCATGCTCAGCCACTGCCAATACAGCACACTTACAGGGCAACATCGTATCTAAGCACAGCTTTGGAGGGCTGTTCTCTCCTACACAGCGGTGGGTCTCTCTCCTGGAGTTGGTGACGTTGTATTGGAATTAGCGTCGTGCTCAATCTCTGGGGTTCGCAAAGAGTAGAGTAGGGCCCAACTGAAACTTCCTGAGTTCAAAGGAAACAAAGCAAAAAAGACAAAACAAGTCTAGGCCACAACGTCATACTCTCTACGCATGTCTTCGAAAAGATATCTTTCTACTACCATGCCAAGACTAGGCCATAACGTCATACCCTACACAGGTCTTCGGGGAGAGATCTTTCTACTACCATGCTAAGACTACCTTCTTCACCCGAATAGAACGCCCGCCCATTATAGCTGTACTTGCACATCTTTCATTCCAGATGGAGCGATAATTACCGGGCGTTCTATTTGGGTGAAGACGGTTGGCCATAACGTCATACCCTACACAGGTCTTCCGCGAGAGATCTTTCTACTACCATGCCAAGACTAGGCCACAACGTCATACTCTACACAAGTCTTTGGAGAGATATCTTTCTACTACCATCCTTGAAAGTTGCTGGGCTCGGAAATTCGTGGCCAGGACATGTTGCTGGTTTGCTGAGCGGAGCCGAACGGTTGGACTCAGCTTGTTACGTGCTTTCTGGTTATCGTTCGTTCTTTTCTGCCAGTCATGTCTGCTTCTTTCCCTGAATCAGGAAGAGTTTGGCCGAGCAGAAATGAAGGAGGACGAGTAAAAGGAAGGCTAAAGAAGAAAAGAAGACATTCTCTCCCACATGTTTATGTGGTTGATGCTTTGTTCTTTTGGGTTTTCTCTTTCGTCATCAGTAATCTTGAAACCCGGTAGTTCACCTGCATTTAATTTGATTTCCAATAAGCTTCCTTTCTCCTTTTCGCTCTGTGGGAAGTATTGGCGGATTGCTGCGATACATTCGATACATTCCCAAAAAACATATACTGGCATGGAGTGTGGAAGTTGGAACCATCGTTCGGGAAAAAAAGTGGCAACGTATGTGACGGGATCGCACGGTGCGTCTCAGAACGAGTTTGCAAAATGATGAAATTTCAGATGGTGATGGCTGTCGACTGCACATTAAAAGAGTTTTGTAGTTTGCTAATGACGAAAGTATGAAAGTCTTGCCTCACTGTTAGGGTGTGTCACTTGTAATGTTCTCTGTGACGCTGCCAACACATGGTGCTCGGTGTCCTGCAGGTTGAACAATGGATTGGTCGGCCAACCCCACATTTGCAGCCATGCTTGCAGCAATGACTCAGTTGGTTGCTGCACCTGCACAAAATACCGTTTCCGTGGCGCCTGTTCAGCCTCCGCTCGTTCCAGCTCTCGGCGCGCAGCATGGTTGGCCTACAGTCCCTCCTCCGCAGCACCTTCACGGCCATTGTTTGCATGGCCAACTGGCACACTACTGGCCTCCACCAGCACAAGCGCCGCCGCCAACAACACATCTGCAGCTCGCACATGTTCTTCCTCAGTCGTCCATACCCTCCAGCGCTATGCATCCTTGGGCACATGTACCTGCCGCACCAGCACATCAACATCAGCAGTGTCTTGAGGATCAACTCTTCGATGCGCTTCTGGCGTTGGCACAGGCAACTACCCATGTTCAGTTGTTGCAGCAGCGACTTAATCAGCAGCGGGAAGGGGTGTCGGCGCCGGCTCAAATTGCCCAGGGGATGACTTTCCCTCGGTCTGTACGGACAGTCTTGCCACCAGTGGTTGGCAACGGCATGCATAGGGGTGTTGGAGACGAGACGCTGCAGCAGTGTGACCCTCCTCCCTCCTCGTTCCACCACATGCCGGGGGAAACTCTCCCCCGGCAGGATTGCAATCATGATCGGGTGGCGGTTGGTTTTCGGGAGTATAGTGATGTCCAGAGAGGAAGGATGAGAGCACTGGTTAACCTTTTGCAGGGCGTTGGTGAGAGGCACCATGAGCCCTCCACTGCAGGGGGCAGTGAAGTGGGTAGCAACGATTCCTGTTGCTCGACATGGAGAACACCCTCGCAAGCACCCGTCGCAGGAAAGAAGCGAAAGGGACCATCGAGTCCGTCTTCATCTTGCTCATCTGCTGCGCTTGCTCACAACGGTCGCGAGAGGCTGCCTGTTGTGCAGTTTCCACAGTGCAATGGTGATGATGTGGCCTTGGCGTGGACTCTTGGATCTGGGAGTGCATATGAATCAAGCCCCACAAGATCAAGGTGTTTGGCAAAGCGCCCAAAGGTCCGCCACTATCCGGGGTTGATGGAACCATGCAGACGAACGCATCGCTGCAGCCGTTGTAGGAAAACTGGCCACAACAAAACGACCTGCAAGGAGCTGCCATGGTATGTTGCTGCCAACAGTCCGCCGAGATTGACTGCTGCCACTCGTCCTGTGATGGGAGGTGGAGGTATTGGTGTTGCCCAGGCAGTTGGTGGTGCAAGGGTGGCGTGCATCCCAAGGCTCGCCGGACAAGCGATCTAGCATCAGCCAAAAAATCAAAGGTATGTGTCGAGTCGATCCTCAACTATCGCTTCTGCAGCAAGGTCTATACGTCTTGAGTTTTTCTTTTCCCGGCGTTCAGAGTGCTTTCTGGTCGTAAGTGAGTGACTTGTTGGGACCTGTGTGCATTTGTTCGTTGCATGTCAATGAACAGGATGATATATGCATGTTCTTCAGCATCTTTGGACAATCAAGGAGATTTCTACGACTTGGGAGCGGCCGATGTGACTTCTGGGTGAGGTAGGTGAGTTATGAAAGGAATTGCATTCACAGTGAGGCCTCTATGATGCAATGGGTAGCTGCAGAGGTCATGTGTATTTGAACTGCATTGTTGCAACGTTCAACTCAAAATAAAATACCTGTATTTGGGCTGCCTTTCACTCTAGATACAGGGATACTGACCAAACGTTCTATTTGGGGAAAGACGGTAGTTAGCTGACTACTGCAGGGTGAAAGCATCTGCGAGGTTTCAGAGCTAGTAGTAGCATCCATGGGGTTGCTAAGATGGTGTACATGGAAGTTGATGTCATGGGGGAAAGTGCTGATGGGGGGTCACAGTATGCTTTATGCAAGTATCAGAAGACATCGGGAGTAGTCTGGCGGTTGTGATAGGGTGGCATGAGTAATCGGAGGAGTGTCAATGGTGAAAGCATACCTCCAGGTGTTGTTGGTTTGCATCCCAGGTTCCACACACACACACACACACACACACACACACACACACACACACACACACACACACACACACACAGAGAGAGAGGGTGCATTCACAACGATTGTGTACAGTAAATCGTTAGAATAAATGAACAAGTGAGACAAAGTAATTGAAAAGTGCTGTTGGGGGGTCACAGTATGCTTTATGCAAATATCAGAAGACATCGGGAGTAGTCTGGCGGTCGTAATAGGGTTGGCATGAGTAATCGGAGGAGTGTCAATGGTGAAAGCGTACCTCCAGGTGTTGTTGGTTTGCGTCCCAGGTTCCACACACACACACACACACACACACACACACACACACAGAGAGAGAGAGAGAGAGAGAGAGAGAGAGAGAGAGGGTGCATTCACAACGATTGTGTACAGTAAATCGTTAGAATAAATGAACAAGTGAGACAAAGTAGTTGAAAACGAATAGTTGGGGGGGATTTTGCCCGAACTAGAAGCTCTCTTTGTGAAGAAAGGCACAGCAGGTCTTGTATTCAGCACCTGTGCTAGGTGGTCTCCTCAAGGCGGCTGAACTGTCACCCTTCATATACTCCCTGTTGGCCCCCTGTTAGTGTGCCGACCTTCTGTTTCTCTCCCAGTGGAAGTCTTCTCTGTCACTGGTGTGCATGGAGTATGATATGATACACCATTTGCTTCTGAACACATCTGCAAGCAACAGCTCATCGCTTTTGCCGCGTCATCTAATTCTATGAAAATTACATGCACAATCAACGAACCAGAAAAGGAGGCACTGTAACCGTCGTGCTGGCTGTGCTCTTCTCAACTGTATGCCAGTTATAACTAGGAAACGAATAGGAATATGTACTACATAACTAGGAAACAAATAAAAATAGGTACTGTAGGTACATTGGAGTACTAGAATGGAAAGGAGTAGCAGTTGAAACTTGTTTGAGCCAATATATTAGAAATAGTAACCAACTACAGTGTTCCCCTAAATACAATGTACGGTCATTATAGCTGCATTTGGAGTATCTTTCCGTCTAAATACACAACTATAATGACGGTACGCTGTATTCGGGGGAAGAAGGGAGGCTACCGGAGTTGCCTGGCCGGGCGGCCTAGCTCAACCTGCCTGGGGAGGCACCTCCCCCCTGGGTAAGGGGGCAACAACAAAATGGCAGTCTTTTTTTCTTGCTTTTTCTTTTGGTGACAGGCAGGCGATTTTGCGCCCACAGAGCACAAGTGGTTAACAGGGACTGCCATTGAAAAGTGCATTTTTTTTTTTTTTTTTTAATAGTTTGTTTATTGTTTTCTTTTTCGGTCCTGTTTTATTTTTGGTCTTGGTCTGCGGGTGCCAAGTTTGGTGTTTGTTGGGGTCTTGAAGATGATTGTTTTGGCCACATCCCTGAAAATCCTGACAATCTAAAAGAGTGAATTCTGTGTGAAAACACGATTTTACCTAGGTATTTCAAGGCCCCTGTGATCCATTTCTTTCCCCTTTTTTTTTGCGGTAGGTTTATTTGGCGTCCACTCTATGGATTGGTGACAAATATGGCATAAAAGGTGTGGGGCGTTTGTCATAATGACCCTGAAAAATTAGGGCTCTGGTTACTGTTCCCAATGGAATGTGCCCCTATTCGGCCTTATCTTTGAATTTGGTCATGTCTCACCAAGGGGTGTCTAAATGGGACTCACAGGGCTTGAAGGGGTGAGATAATTTAGTGTTTTGTTCAGTGCTGGTCTCCGATTCAATTGGGGGGGGCTTTCCTCCATCCAGCGGCCTCCTGTTCGAACTGGGCGGTTCAACGGTCCGGTTCAACCCAGGTCTGCCACAGTGCGTTTCAGCCGGGGCGAGGTGGTTGCCTTGCCCCAGAAGGCTTGGGCAGCCTCCCGCTGCCTCATGGAGGACGCTACCGGACCCCAAATGGCTTTGTTGGCCTCCTGTTGTGTCATCGAGGACACTGTAGAAGACAGGGAAAAAAAAGGCCTGGCAAGTCCTCGTTTTCAATGAGAAACTGGCAGCCGGTATTGGCGGCCAACATTGCAAAATCGGTGGCCAAGATTTGGGGCGATTCCAGTCAATGTAAGGGCTGCGGAGCTTTAACCCCTGCATCTTTTAAACCCTGAGATGCGCTGCTGCCCACCTGTATCTTGGAACATCAGCCTGCAAACGTGTCGTGCTGCTGCCTACCTTGCATTGACATACTGCCCACTCACGTTGGGAAGCCATGTCAGTGCCCCACAAGGAGGCCATTGCAGTGCAGCAGGAGGATTTAGTGTGGCAGGTTCAGAAGAGAGAGAGAGAGAGAGAGATCACGAGATTCAGATCACCAGATCCCTCTCGTGCTGGTCGTCTTCCTCTCCGCTTACCCCGCTTTGAACTCTGCTGCGAATCCTGGTCGTTGATCACCAGATTCACCACCAGATTCACCACCATGTTCTGATCGTGGACCCCGACGATTCTGATTATAGGCATCCCTGTCAAATCGGCCTGCTCGTAGCCCTCCTCCCCCTCCTATCCTCTTCTTGTTGTTCTCCCTCCACTCTTAGCCTGCTTCAGGCTCTGCTACCAATCCTGTACGTCGATCTCCACCAAGTCCACCTTGTTCCGATGATTGACCCCCACCATTATCATTATTGGCGTCCCCGTCAATATCTGCCTGCTCGCGCCCCTCCTGCTGTACCCGTCCCCTCATTCATCATCACCTCCAGATGGGTCTACCTGAAGTTAATGAGGACTAGCAGGTGCTGAATTCCTGGTGGTGTTACGAAGTGCATGGGCAGGGGTAATGGAAGAAGCGGGGAGAGGAGGAAAGGAAAAGGGAGATGGAGAGAAAGGCAGACAATATTCAATATTGTATGAAAAAATGAAACTTGTACACTTCCATTATGAGTGGGTGGAAGAAAAGTGAATGAAGAGTCACACGTGGCACACTGGCATGATGAACGGGTTAAAAAAGACGAGGGGGAAAGAAATAATAAAGCGGCTGACTGTGAATGTTCCTGATGACAATATTTTCAAATGCATTCTTTGCTGTCTGTGGTTTGCGAAAATTTTGTTTGTGGCAGGATGGTCAGTCACTCAAGGCAGGTCCAGCGCAAGGGATGCCATGGAGGAGAGGCCTTGTGCGCGTCATGTTCAAGGCAACAACTAACCTGTTGAGGTGCGTCTGCCCTTTCCTTGATCTCGTATATCTATCTAGATGTTTGTTGTTCTTGTTGGCCTGGTGGTTTTCTGTTGGGCTGAATGTTTCCGTCACTGCTGCTCGACATTGTTGTTTCTTCCTCCTGTTGCTTGTTGCACTGCAAACGTGACACATGCTCGCTGTCCGTGCTTTCATGTACCTGGAAGCGAAGTGTGCATCAAATTACTGCGTCGTTGGGTGGGAAGATTGAACTGCATGCACGGCAAAATCGCAAAAGGAACAAATGAAAAATTCGGGAAAACGATAAAGTGTGGCTCGGGTAGGACTTGTACTGAGGCTGTCTCCTGAGTAGTGGGTATGATAGGTGGRKSRGGGGSGGGGGGGGGGGGGGGGGAGCTGTACTGTTCATTAATAGGAGGGAGGTAGGCCGTGTATGCCTGACGAAGGGGGAAGCAGCTGGGGATGTGCTAAAAGTCAATGGTTGGGGAACAGAGCTGCTTAAAGTGGATAGATGGATCAGGGGGGTGGGGGGGGGTGTACTGTACATCAATAGGAGGGAGGTAGGCCCTCTACGCCTGTCGGAGGGGGGATTGGCCGGGGATCTGCTGAGTCAATGGTTGGGGAACAGAGCTGCTTAGAGTGGGCCCTAAGTACACCAAGTGGAGGTTGGCTCTGTAGGGACAGAGTTTGCTCTCTGGTGGCAGGCTGTATGGTGTGGAAGGGACACGACATGCGATAGGACTTAGGGCTCTAGGCTTGTGGAGGACTCCGTCTAGGAAGGTCCAGAGGGCCAAGTGGGTCATTCCAATCTTCGAGTCACTGAACCCTGAAGAGTATTCCCGCGCCTGATACCCAGCCTCTACAAAAACCTGGGCGTCTTAATTTTTTTTTTTATAGGGAAAATGAAATGTGTTGTAGAATACCGAAGAAAAATATTAGACTACCTGGGACACCTGGCCCAGGGGGTGTCCTACGCCTGGATTAGCCCAGGCGTTTTATCCTGCCAGTGGTGTGTGGTTCTGTCCACACAAAGCAGCCCAAAAAATCCAGGCTCTTTTTTTTTTGCTATTCAGTGTTCTCGGTTGGGGATGAGAGGGTATAAATGGAAGTCAAAAGCGGTCCAAAAGGGTCAAAATGTACGTGGCGTAGACATTTGAACTTCCTTTTTCTGAATTTTCTTTCATCTGTAGCTCAATAAAGAATTCTGTGACGATCCTCAGCCAAAGGTAGCTGTTTGCATTGCAATTCTACACAACATATTTGTTCCCTATAAATTTTTGAGTTTTGAAAAGTGTTTTGATTTTCTGTCGGGGTTGTGTGGGGCCTTGCCCGGTTCGGGCAGTATTTGTTTCCCAGTGTTTTTAGAGTTCTGAAAAGTGCTTGATTTTTTTTCTGTCCGGGCCGTGTGGGACCTTGCCTGGTCTGGGCACTCCGGACAGCCAGAGGCTGCCAGTGTGCCTGGGGAAGCATCCTAGGTGGCAGAATATGGTAAGTATCTTTGGTTGCGTGTGTCCGAAAATCTTATTTGTTGAATTCGCGGAAATAAAAGGCTGGTTGTCTTGAGTTTCGTTACCCTTTTTTTTTTTTTTCTTCCTACCCCTTGCGGTGAGCCCAACCTTAAAGCAGCATGTCACAACTTGCTAAGGCAAACTTGAGTGCTGGGAGATCGATGTCTTGAACAACAAGTTTGTCCTTACAAGCTCTGTGGCTGTCGCTGCAAGCAAGAAGCCAGGAACAATGAAATCTTCTTCTCTCCGGTCTTCTTGCTCGACTACCCAAGCTAGCTCTGCAGCCCAGCACCTGTGCAGTACTGCTACTCTCTTAGCCTCTGCCTCATTCGTCACTGTTTCGCTCAAGATTGTGTCTGTGCACTACTGCTACTCTCTAAGCTGTTTCGTTACACAGTCCTCTGAATGAGGAGATGTTCTCACTGCAGTGGGTAGGGTTTCTCACAGCAGCAAGACGGTGAGATATTAGCTTGCGAGGTGCAGATGCAAATGTACATCTCTTGCTTTTCTGAGCTTGCGACAGCATTCAGAGTATTACAGACGTTGCTTGTTTGGAATGAATGTGCTTCTGGACCTCAAGGGTTGCCTTGTTTTCTCACCACTGCTGTACCAGAAATGACCATCTTTCCCATGTCCGTCACCAAAAAGCCTGGAGTGGTGCTTTTGTCGTCATCGACGAGTAAATGAGAATACTACGGCCTTCACCCGAATAGAACGTCCGGTCATTATATCTGCATTTGGCCCAACTTTCAGTTCAGATGCAGCGATAATTGCGGGGCGTTCTATTCGGGGGAAGACGGTAGCAACAGGGCTCTCATGTTGCTGCCAGTTTCTAGTCTGATGGCGGTGTTGGGAGAATAAACCAGTTGCTTTTCTTGCACTGAGGAGTGGCAGATTGTCAGAGGCTGATTGATAGTGAGAAGCTGACAGCTGCCCCGTCCGTTCTTGCTGATGCAGATTGGCAGACTAAAGCAGTTGCATCTCGTGCACTGAGGAATGACGAGGAGCGAAGAGGTTGGACATTGCGGACGGGGAGGGCTATGTAGTGCTGAAAAGCAGACAAATGGCGAAGATGCAGTCGCGATTGCTTGTGAAATGGAGGTCTTTTGTCCAAGTCGAACTGGAGGTCTTCTTCCGGATGGTCCCCACAATGCAGACATATTATATTTGGGGCTGATCTCCGTTGTGTAGCGGATTTGCCCGGAGCAGCACCCTGCATCGTTTCACGGCAGCTCAGGCGGTGGGTCACCACGCGTATAACAGTGTGTGTTATTATGGGATTTCCGAACGTGAGATGTGAGCAGAGGTGGGTTGTGAGAAATAAATGGGAACGGATCTTTTCACGGAGAATGCTTTGGTTATTGAGAAAGAGGTACTTGATGGTCTATAAATCCTGCCTTACACCGTGACTGTTTGCCAAAGGGGCCAAGGATGAGGTGTGGAGGTGGAGTTGCAACCTATGTGAAGGTCATGCGCCCGACGGTTTTATCGTGATGCTAAACTCCCCGGGACTCCCAATGTGCTTTGACACGGAGTAATCGTTGGTCACCGGGAAAGACAGGAACCGCGAGGCACAAGTGGTATCGGAATGATCGGTGGTCACTGGGAAAGATAGGAATGCGAGACACAAGTGGCATCAGCCTGTGAATGTGTATAGACTATAGGGGTCTGAATGCGATTACAGTGAAGAATGCTGAGCCACTGACTAGGATAGATGATCTTTTAGGTCGAGTGCAGGGGGCCAAGTATTTTTCTAAGATAGATTTGAAGTCCGGATATCATCAGATAGAGGTCTACCCCAATTCTCTCTGTGCCTCCTTCACAGGTTGTTGCGGTTCCGTTGTCCCAAACGGATACATCCGCTCCTATGCCTCCTGCAGACAGTCCAGCTGCTTGCACACAGCCACAGCACCATGTTTTATGCCCTTCCATGTTTGTTTGTCAAGGAGTGCGGCCTTTGCGTTAGAATTGAGCAATGATTTGCTGGCCGGTACACAAATTTTGCGGCGCGCGGTCATTGATTTCCCCGGGATGTGTTGATAAAGTTGCAATCTGTGCAACGATCAGGCACACAGGCTGTTATCATGCTAATAGTCGGACTTCACCAACTTTTGCGTATGCAATGTAGGGTGACGAAATCCATCTGGCCAGAGGACTGCACGGGATAGGGGTGGAATGATCACTCGGTGTTGCACCGGATGGAGGTATAAGAATGGGTTCAATCAGGTGGTGGTGACACGTTAGCGCAGGGTCCCTTCTTTTTTTCCCTCTAAGAAAAAAAAAGGGCAACAAGCTGAAAGATGTAGTAATCTTTGAACTGACCTGCCCGGGTAATCCTGATACTCGTTCAGCTGCAGTGTTCTGGTAAACACAATGCACCCTGATTCTGAAAACACACGAGCCATCTTTCTGTTCAATGTAGTCACAACCAGGGTGCATTGTGTTCGGGGGAAGACGGTAGTTCCATCTGGATTGGAGCGTTCGTCTGCATTTCAACAGCTGATGGGTCTACAGACTGAGGAAGGCCTGTTGGTGCCCTTCTTGTAAATGATTGGCACTAGACCTCAAATGATTTGCACAGACAGGTTGTCGAATGTGCACTTTTCTGAAGAGGTATGTCTCTCTAGAGATTGGCTGTCAGAGTGACAACAGCAGTGATCGTATTGGCAGTGCCAAATAGTGGCGAAACCAAAGGCCAGGCTGTTGGGTTTTGTGGCCGAGGAGCTTCTCAACGCTCTGGTTGTCATTGTGATTTGACGGTGGAGAAATGCAGTTGTCTTATGACCGGCATAAAATACAGTGGCAACGTCGGACAGAGGTCAGGCTCTTTTCTGTTTGCCTGATGAGCTTCTCGGCGCAGTGGTTGTAATGTAGATGTTTTGGACTACGTTCTTAGATGCTAAGTAGTAGGTGTGATATAGCGGGTCCAGCGAGTGGCAAATAGACGGAGTTGCAGGAAAGGATATGGGATAGGGGTCATAAGGAACAGGAGGAAGGTTGGGATGATATGGATCTCGCATATCTTCGTCCTCTTTCGCTTGGACATTGTGTATGTAGAAAAGTTTAGCTTCGGGTTTGGAAGGGTAGTGTGTAGCTAGACCACTAGTTTGGTGCTGATGACAGAGGTGAAGGTGATGAAAAAAAAGGAGGACAAGTTACAGCGCTTCATGCCATAGCAGTGGCTTCATGCCGATAAGAGCTAGATGATAGGGAGGAGAGAGGAAATACCTATTCACAGAAATGATGATCTCCTCACTGATCAAATCTCTGAAAGATGAGAACTGGCTGAAGGTTGAGGGCGAGATGCAGGGGAAGCAGAGGGGTGGCTCTGGCACAGTGGATGGATCGGGAGCATAAGGCAGGGTTTTGGAAGCAAAGACGGCAAGGAGGTGGATGGTGTGTGATGCAGCCAGGCGGTCTGTAAAGCCAATTTCTCAGGGAGAGCCGGCAAGTGAATCTGATCCGCTGTTTTCGGCTCTGGACATCCTAGGATCCTTAAATTGGTTCACTGCAGGTCATGACGAAGAAAAGCCCTGGCTTGCACATAGTGCTTGGCCGGGCGTGTATCAATCTGCAGGACTTTGCTGCAGAGCCTTGGATGGGATCGTTGTTTGGTTTGGGGGGGTAAATTTGGACTTGTCAGCAATGGAACATGAGCATCCATCACCATCTGGGCTGGTGCCGAGGCAAGAATGTACTTGTGTGCTGAAAGACTGCAATCTTTAGACATGTGTTGTGTATGTTGTGTACAGATGTTGTGTACAGATGTTGTGCTTGGAGACTAGGAACAGACGTGGCACAACATTCCTTCCTTGCCGGGTGCTGCCGTCTGCGGTGATGCTGGGAGCAAGGGAAGCAAAAGATGAAGAGGAGAGACTTAGCTTACTCAAGAAGTGCCCAACAGGCTGTTGAGTAAACTAAGTCTCTCCTCTCTCTCTCTCCCTCTCTCCCTCCCTCTCTCTCCCCATTCCTCTCTCTCCCCATTTCTCTCCCCTTTTCTCTCTCCCCTTTTCTCTCTCCCCATTTCTCTCTCTCTCTCTCTCTCTCTCTCTCTCCCCATTTCTCTCTCTCTCCCCATTTCTCTCTCTCTCTCTCTCTCTCTCTCTCTCTCTCTCTCTCTCTCTCT